AGCCTTCGATTAGGTTAATGTGATTTTCATTGGTAGTGCATCTACCGTACATTGTGCCACTTTTAGTGAGATGTTATTTGCAGGAAAAACAAAATATCTGAGACAAACCTCACCTCTGTAATTTTCAAACTGATTTATCCATCTTTTCCGTCATCTTCCAATTACATTTCTTATTGTGCCTGGATTTCACGGTCACTTCATGGTCGCGGGCATGTCTATTGTCTCCGTCATCTGAACACACTCTCACAATCGAGGGCAGCCTTGTGCATGTGTATTGGACGATTTTGCATTTGTATTTCTGATTGTGCAGACACTTTCTGAATGTTTGTGCATAAAAATGCAAATATCTGTGGTCCCTGCTGGTACCATAGTAGTGAATTCTACAATGGCAGCAATCATGATAATGAGCCAGTGCCATTCTTATAAAGGGGATAATCCACTTCTGTCTGATGTTCATGGGAAGTCAAGCTGCTGTCACCAGAATAATTAACAAGCTCAAGTTAGGCTCTTGCTTCTTTGTGGAAATGGCTCTCTTGGTGACCTTGAGGAAAACACAGGTGGGTGGAATGTGATTGATATGCGATCCTGATCTTGTGATTTACCCCCTCGGCTTTCTTCACTTTATCCATCTATCTCGCATTCGATGACCTTACTCCTCCTGCTTATCTAGCACTTAAACCTACTTACACTTTCAAAGAACTTGTTAACTCCAAAGTGTTTTTTTTTTTGTGTGGCTCCTGCACACACGTATAAAACACTTGTTTCTAACTGTTGTTTGTGAATATAATGGATTAAACCATATATATATATATATATATATATATATATGCTGGATATGAGATCCACCTTAGGCCTGGTTCACAAAAATTTCTATTTTTATTTTTTTCACGTGACAGACTCCATACAGAAAGGATACCACGCACTCCTTAAGATTCTGGATATATTTTGTTTTATTTACCAACACTTCCTTGTTCATCGGTCATGCTTTTTTGATTGGCTACATTTCGTCTATGTCACTGTTCACTGTATCAGGTCATTTGAGAGCAGTCAGCTTTCCTCACAACCTTTGAAATTTTTTCCTCGTTCATATTGAACACATTTAATATAAGATTGTTGCCCCAAACCCATTTTGGACAACAATGTCTGACCAAATCCATTCGTTCCAGCACAACAGACCGAAATGATCGAATAGGATTATCTTCAGCTATCATTTGACATATTTGGTTTGGAAGGGGCAAAATCAGGACAAAAATAGTGTGTACCATGGCCTCAAGCACAAGAGGCTGAAGCCAGTCATATTGATTGGGAATAGGTCTGAGAAAAATGTTGGTGCTTAAAAAAAATTACAATATGTGAAGTGAAGAGGTTTGATCAAAAACAGAAGTCAACTTTGGTCACAATTCTAGTGGCAAATGGATACATGTCTTATATCCATCCATGCATCCATTATCGGAGCCGTTTATCCTCATGAGGGTCGCAGGCGTGCCAAAGTCTATCCCAGCTGACTTCAGGCAGTCGGCTCGGTCACCCTGAACTGCTTGCCAGCCACTCGCAGGGCACACGTGGGACAAATAACCAACCACCCACACTCACAATCACACCTACGGGTGATTTGGTATGTTCCATTAACCCATCGCACATGTTTTTGAAATGTTGGAGGAAACCTTCATACCCGGAGAAAACCCCCACAAGCACGGATAGAACTCCACACACGAAGGTCCCTGCACTCAAACCCTGCACTTCCGCACTGTGAGGCGGACGTGTTAAGCAGTTTCCCACCATGCATCTCTATATGTGTATGTGTTATAGTAAAACATAATTCTTTTGTCGTTTGACCTGATACTCATTACACGACAAGCAGCTCTACAGAGCATCTAATTATGTAAAAAAGTTCAACACCATGCATTATACAAGTAGACATTTTTATTGGAAAGCAACGAGATACTGTATAGCAAAGACGTCACTCCACGATTAACAAGGCAAGCGCAGTATTGTCCCAAGTGGTTGGTTTTCTTTTTCTTCTTCGTCATGTTGTTCGTCTTCAGCTTCTTCCAAGACACTTTGAGAGTAATGTATTCCATTTTGTGCCCAAGTTCTCAGCCTTGCTTCTTCATCTTGTCTCACTTCTTGAACACGCGCATGATGATTATAGTTTAGAAAAAAAAAAAAAAAAAATCCCACAAATTTTGGATTGTAGAAGTATTGTGGGAAAGTAAATGGTGTGGTGTTTCTGATTCTTGGCTTAACATTCAGTACATGTTGGGGCGGTATCGTAAAAGTACAACTAAATTATGGCTCTGCAGAACAAATGTACTGGAACGTGACGGTTGGCTTAAAGTCAGTATTTCTCGCTCTGCTTAAACAATAGGGGCACCGGGGCAATTTTAATGTATAACTAGCATCACACATTTTTAGTAATAATAATTACTTCTGTTCAAGGACAGATTGATTAGCACGTACACCTTACAGCACAGAGTTCCGTGGTTCAATTCCGGGCTCTAGCCTTCCTGTGTGGAGTTTGTATGTTCTCCTCGTACCTACGTGGGTTTTCTCCGGGTACGCCGGTTTCCTCACACATTCCAAAAACATGCAAGGTAGGTTAATGGAACACTCTAAATTGTCCCTAGGTGTGAGTGTGAGCATGATTGCTTGTTCAGAGTGACCCCAACCTACTGCTCGACAACAGCTGCGATAGCCCGCGCCCCTTGTGAGGGTAAACGGCTCCAATATTGGGTGGAGTAATTGAGTAAATAAAATATATTGTTTCGGGGACCAATGGAGAGGTTTTCCACTGCATTATGTTGTTGTGAAGTTGACAGATTAGTCGTAACGGTCTGAACGACAACTTTTAGAAAACACGATTCTAATCTTAATCGTACGCACATACGCACACACACACTTGCACAAAGCTTTCTTTGCACATTATGTGCATAATGCCAGCCAGTGCCCCCACTGTATTCCTTCCGATTTCTCCATTCAAGGTACAAACACATTAAGGTTGAACTCCTAATAGCTTGTGTGATGGATACCGGAGCATAATGAGCTCTTTATGAGACTTAAATCCTACTGTTAATCAATGCACATAGCAGGGCACTTTTCAATACTACTTACTAAGCATTTTAAAATGAGCCCTCATTGAAAGGATTGACTCCCCTTCTGGACTCTCTCTCTCTCTCTCTCTCTCTCTCTCTCTCTCTCTCTCTCTCTCTCTCTCTCTCCTTCCTTCCCCTCAGTCTCCTTCAAGCCGTCCCAATGTGCAATTAGTTACATCACACTTTTAGAATCCAATTAGACCTCATTTTTGGAAAGCTCTTGCCTGCCCTGATATTGACAAATACTCTCCAGACTGGAAGTTGTGAAAATGTGATGGGCTGCTGTAATGCAGTGGGTAGACCAGACTTCCTTTCACCTCAAGCAAGCCAGTCTATTATGACCTTAAATACCCTGTAACTGGCAGCTGCTGGGGGCATTGCTGTCAATTACTGCTGGTTGTTGTATTGTTGCACTTTGATCTTTGGCTGCTAATGTACTACATTGCTGCAGGCTATTGCACTAGTGTCATGGTGTGTTAGCATCACAATGTATAATCTGTGTCCACATGTACAGTATAAGATGTGAATGCGTTTAAATTTGCCTGGTTGATTGTGATGCAATAACAATGGACAACTGAGGCAACAGTGTCTCCATGATTTTTTTGCGTTGAAAGTTCTTTTTTGGCTGTGTTAAGTTCATGAAACAAATGTTTGTGTGTGCATAGGTGGCTCCATCCACTGGTTGTGAATTTGTGTGTGTATGTATTGGTGTTTGTGAAGTTTTGTGTGTGCAGATCTCTGTCTGGTGGTGTTTGATTATCCCTTACAGCCTCAGAGGGAGTGGGATTCATTCTCACTGTGATAATGAGGGAGAGACTAGCAATACCCCGAAGTCATTTCTCCTATTCTTATATCCTTCCTGTTGCATCTGTCTACTTCTCCGACCTCCTTCCCTTTTAACTCTTTTGTTATCATAATTATCTTTATTCTTTTTTTAATTATGTCATTGTTCTTCTTGTACAGTATTCCTTTCTTTCTCTGACCGCTTTGGTCATCATTATTGTCCGTTTTATCTGTTTGTATTCATGCTGGGCTGGCACCAGCCAATTTACTTTATGTCAAAATATTTCAACACATTTTAAACCAGCCTCACATAGTCCATCTGTATGGACCAAGTGCAAAGCAGCTTTTCCACACAATGGTCATATGTTGAGTATTTTTGTTTGGTTGATTACCATATTTTTCGGATTATACGTCGCTCCCGATAATAAGTCGCACCAGCCAAAAAATGCATAATTAAGAAGGAAAAAACATATATAAGTCGCATTTTTGGGGGGAATTTATTTGATAAAATCCAACACCAAAAACATACATGTCATCTTAAAAGGCAATTTAAAATAAAAATAAAATAGAGAACAACAGGCTGAATAAGTGTACGGTATACTAACGTTACATGACTGACATGCCTAGTCATGTCAGTAACGACGTAATATATTAAGAGTTATTCAGAGAACTCTAGCATAAAGAACATGTTAACAAGTTTACCAAACTATCAGTTTAACTCCAAATGACTAAATTCAATGAAATCTTCATCCTCGGTGTCACTTTTAAACAACTCCCCCAACTCGGGAGGTAGACGATGCACCGCTTCCTCTTCTACGTCGCTTACGTCAGACTCATCGTCTATTTATCAACACAGGCCGAGAGCCCCCTCTTGTGGTGTGATGTGAAAATAGCATGTGAAATGACATCATCACGTGTTTATAATTTCACACATAAGTCGCTCCAGAGTATAAGTCGCACCCCCGGCCAAACTATGAAAAAAAATGCGACTTATAGTCTGGAAAATACGGTATATGCCAATTCACCACACTTACTTTTACCGAACTTCCCCTACATATTCATGGGAAAGAAAAAACAAGAGGGAATTAACTTAATACCTTCCGTCCCTTCATTTCCATTGTCTAGGTTACTGAAGTGCAGATAAACTGTTGTGAGGCCAACTTGGAGTCGTACACTTGCCTCCAACGCCCTGACACACGCCATCATGGATCTAAAGGACCGAAGGCAGCACTCCCTGACCTGCTCCAAGGACTCCCCTTATAACACCTCATCCCTGGATGCAGATGAGTGCCGCGTGCCAACCCAGAAGTCGTACAGCTCCAGCGAGACACTCAAGGCTTTCGAGCATGAGCAGAGGCTGCACTACAGCGGTTGCGTGACCGACCTTGTTCACCACGAGGCTGATGAGTACCCAAGACAAGGTGGGTCTTTGGGCCAAAGCATTTTGGGAATATGTGCACACACCCTTCGCTCTTGATTTCAGAAAAAAAAAAAAAAGTTTGTTTCAACACTTTGACAGCGATCCTGCTCTTATAGCCCGCAATGGATGTGAGGACTTAAGGTGCTTCAGAGTATAAGGAGCACCTTCAATGAATGGCCTATTTTAAAACTGGTTTCATATATCGGGCGCATTATCGGTGCATGGAATAGAAGCTACAATAGTGGTTGCGGTTGCGTTATGCGTCCACTAGATGGAGCTAGGCTAAAGGGAATACAAGACAATACACCTTTTTTACATAGAGCTTTCACAACCGCTGCCGCTATAACAAAGCACGTTACAGAATATTTAAAATGCTACGTCCAATAAATCAGAATCTATATACATATATAAGACGCATCGGATTATAAGGCGCATTGTCGGCTTTTGAGAAAATTGAATTCTTTTAGGTCCGCCTTACAGTCCGGAAAATATGGTATGTATAATACAATAAAAGATCCAAAATAAATGTCACTATAATCAATGATCGAGTCACGACTGTCACGTTTGCCTGCTGCCCCTTGCCCCGCACCAAGAATACCATTATTGCGATGGCATGTCCATTAAGAACACATCTCAGTGGTCGTGAGTGAGCCCATGACCCACTGCAAGCACAGACGTGCATTACATTGAATACCTATATTGACTTAAGCTAAGCTGAGTTTAGCATTCTTGCAGTTCACCACAAATGACTTTCCTTCAACAACTGTGACACATCTTTGCATGATGATCTAGGTTATAAACACCATGTAGTACATTCCAGCTAGCGATCCCTGGGTATTTAAATTCTAACTAGCAATGGTAAAGTAAAAACTTGTTAACTTGCATCTGAGCAATTGCTGTCTTTGACACAAACATTTTTAATGGGTATATTAGACCCTCATTCCAAGCCACCACCTGTGTTAAAATGAGTGGGCTGCTTCAGGAAGGGCATCCTGTGTCAAAACTATGCCAAATACATATTTACAAGACGTACAAAAATTAATTGACTGCAGTGTCATCTTTCCACCAAAAGAGGTTGCTAATAAACTGTGAAAAAGGTCATGCACTGTGTACGCAATGGACTTGTGTAGCCTATACATGTCTTTGTGAATGGAGTGCAATGAAGCCAAGAAAACCTCAGGGCAAAACAATTTTTTTAAGTCTACGTGGTCTACTTTTATTCCCCAGCCCTGCTTGTCAGTATTGTTGGATCAAATTCTAACTTCATGTCATATATTTTACAAGTAACATTTTCGAAAATTTGTTTGACAGCAAGCATGTAGTAACCCAATGGAAAGTAAATTCCAGTTGGCATACATTACACAGTGTGTCTTTTCATGAAATAACAGTGCTTCTTGTATTCAGTTAAGACGTGTTGAAGAATTATATCCATACAACAATATATTTACATGTATGTATTTACTGAATGCAAAGAAAAAAAAGACCAAATTGACAGAGTAATGAAGTACATTAATATTTTTATTTCATGCACATTTTTGAGTCCCATGTAAGATCATCCTGACAGGACCTTTTTCCAGTTGTATTATAAGCATAAAACTCTTTTGACTGTCATGTTTTATTAGTATCGTGCAGAGGTGACACTTTGACACCTCTGGTATCATGTGGCAACCTATTTTAGGCACGCAGTATAGATCTTTGGCAATGGTGGGCTTGTGATTTTGAATTTCTGCATCCCCTGGTAAGTAAGTTTGCTGATAGGCCGATATAGTAGGTCATCATTCAAGGGCATTCTTGCTCTCTTTCACATGTCTTTAAAATCATATGTGTCTACGCAGGTGCACATGCGTTCCATCTATATTACGGTCGTACTGTACATGAATCGGGCAGTATCGATCCCTGACTGGTGAGACGCAATTGGATTGATCCATGCAAGGCTCTTTTCTGTTTATGAACACATAAAGACGATGCGAGCAATGACATGTTTGTTATTAGGTATATCCATGTGTAACACAAGCGTAAAAAGTGAATATTAAAAAAAAAAAAAAAAAAAAAGACATTTTGTTCTGTGGATGCAATAGCACAGCAAGGCAAAAAGATTGAATGGCATCATGGATGAAAGACTGAAAATCAGCGGTGCGTGTCGGTCAGCCATACTTCACTGCTGTACCAAGCTGACATCGCACCAGGCGATGGCTGGTCAATACTGAAGTCCTCTCAGCCTATCAACTCTGTCAAAAGCCCAGAGCCACAGATGCATCGTGGGAAGTGTGGCCACAGGAGACCAACAGTGTTGCAGCACCATAAGGACTGTGACACCACAGGAGGTAGAGAGCTCAGTAGACAACAAATGAGGAAGAGTGGGAGAGACAAAGTGAGAAAATCACCAGCTGAATAATTTAGAATTAGACGCCTCGAAATTGTAACTCCAATAGTATGTTCATCATGTATTTGTTATTTTGAACAGATTGATGCATGTATGGATGTACTGTTTCATATACTGTGTGTGTGTGTGTGTGTGTGTGTGTGTGTGTGTGTGTGTGTGTGTGTATAAATTACTTTTATGCATTTCATCCATCCATTTTCAACACCACTTAACCTGAACAGGGTCAAGTGTGCTGGAGCCTATTACAGCTGACTTCGGGCGGAAGGCAGACTACACCCTGAACTGGTCGGTAGTCATTTGCAGGGCACATACAGAGAAGAACAACCATTCACCCCCACATACACATCACTGAATGGGAACTGATCCTACGCTGCCTGCACATAGGTCAGGCGGGTACACTATTACACCATCAGCAAATTATATATACAGCTCTAGCTATAGACAGATTTTTTTTTCTTTTTAGACCTCTCTGTGAAGTGCAAGGCAAATAAGATAATTATGTTTTTTTTAGAAATACTTAAAACTTTAATAACTAAAGACAGTCAAAAAAAACACTCTTGAAACGTGGAAGAGAGAGTCAAATAAGCATTCAAAACATTGGCGCTTCAACCTGTCTTTGTTTAAATTAGATCTTATTGGCAATAGGTGACTTGATCACTTGACTATACACCTAAAAGACTAAAGTAATTCTTCTCTTCTTTGGTCAACCTGAAGTAGTATTCCATGTTAACGCGGCTCATTCTGGATTACTTTTAAACAAGGACTCCGACTTTAGAGCGAGACTTTTTTTGAACCTAATTTAATCAGAGAGTAGAATTCATATTTCATTTATACCACAGTTTATAGTTGGCATTGTATTATTTTTAATCTTATGCGAATGAGCTGCGACTCACTAGCTTTTGTTAATTCTTCATTTTGGCAATTAAAACTCATTTTAAAATCAAAGAACAGTCCCCAGTTTGAGTTTGACTCAAGTCAGACATCCTCTTAAAGTCCCTAAAGGCTCTGGATGGACCAGTAAATCTACATTCCTATCTTCACCTCCGGTTACAGGCTGTGGGTTGTGACCGAAAGAACAATATCACAAATACAAGGGACCTAAATAGGTTTCCTTTGCAACGTACCTGGGCTATCCCTTAGAAATAGGATGAGAAGGAGGGACTCACAGTACAGTTGCCGCTCTTCAACCAGAGTGAGATGAGATGGCTCAGCCACCTGGTGAGAATGCCTCCCTGGGACATGTCCTACCAGGGGGAGGACACGGGTCCAATCCAGGACACACTGGAGAGACCACATTATTCCCGGTCAGCCTGGAAACGCCTCTGGATTGAGATGTGTTTATACCTGCTTCATTTCAAGAGTCAACATGAGAATTCAATCACGCTTTGATGTCATGATTTTGATCTTGTTCTGTTTGGTTTCATTTTCTTGGGGGAGTGGAGGGCGTTCCCTCCAGCACTGCATTTTTCATGCATATATGACCCAAACTATTGCTTCACCTGATTACGCTCTTATCTTTACACAACATACAGAAATAGCATCATCTATTTTGCTGTCTGTTATAATGTGAATGCTGCCTGTTCTTGGCACTTCAACTCTAAGATGCCTCTGTTGTTTTGAAATAACATATTGAGGCTCTCACCAATTGCATTAACAGTAAAGGCAGCTTGAGTGAAAAAGATTGTTTATAAAAAAAGAAAAAAAAAGGAACACTGAAGACACTGATGTATTTGGATTAATTTTCATTGAGAGGGCATAGAAAACATAATTGGAGAAACATTCAACACCTCCAAAAATATAACTAGCTTCTTCAAAAAACAGTATATGTCCCAGACTTCATTTGTAATGCATAATGGTAAAAATATTTAGACTTTAAAAGTTTGAAAAATATTACTTTACACTCATGTTTTTTTTTTCTTTTAGAAACAAGTGTTAACATTTGGATGGCAACTACCCCTACGTCCAATATTCATATCAGTAAAATAATGGTATTTTCAAGCTCAAATTCAGTGGGGAATAGCTTTACTACTGTCGATCAAAATATAGTCTGTCTGAAAATAAGTGGACTGGTACATAGGGGCTCAGTACATTCACATTGTTGCAGTAGACAAGGCCTTAACTTAAACTGTATTTTGCTGTCTCAAAAAAAATCACATTACGAGGTGCCTGTTTAATATAATAAAAGCTATTTGTTAACCAAACACAGAACACACTTCAACGCTAAACAACAGACGATATATTCTTTTGTTAGAAGCCCTTCTGTTTGGGTGTGTGTGTGGGTTTTTTTTTTTTCGCCTTGATCCACAACCCAACTTTTCGTTCACATTTCATGTTTTCTCTCATTTATTGTCTTGTGTTTTCGCACCCATACTGTGCTTAAATTGTTATTTTCCTTGCCATATTATGCTGTTACCATGGCATGGTCATCCTCATCACCGTGCTGTCTTCTTTGATTCGTGGGTGTTCTATTTGTTACATTCATTACATTTTACTATTAGAGCTCTATCGGCTTCACCTGACGTCTTCACACAATACCGATAAATTTCATTTGCTTATGTACCGTCCTCTTCAGATTTACAAATCCTAAATTGGATGTTTTTTTGTGTGTGTCTGCGTGT